GTCCCGAGCACTTGGGGCAGAGAGAATGGCCAAGGAAGCCTTCCCAGGGGAAGGGGTGCTAGAGCTGGTTAGGGAAAAGCCTGGGCCCTAGCAAGTTTGAGCTACCACGGCCTGCACCTGGCATCACAACCCAGGTCTCCTGGCCCAGCTTGCTTCCTGGACTGCCTTTCCCATAGCTGCGCTGCCAGGAATCTCCAGGTTTCTAGCCAGTCATCGTAGATAGACTTTTTCTTTCTCTCTTGTTCTCTGTGCCTTTCACCAAAAACACGAACTCTTCCACACAGATCTCTAGGTCAAGTATAATTCTAGTCCAGCTGATCCAAACTGGATTCAGCCAAACAGCTCTGCTTCAGGTTAAGGCTGGGCTGGGCTCCTGTGTTATTGGACTCTGGTTTGCTCCATGCAGTTCCTTCCAGGACCCACGCCAGAGTTGCAGCAGCTACCCAGGGTTTGCCCTTCTCACGGTGGGTTGTTGGAGCACAAGAGGCCAAATGAATTCATACAAGCAAAGAAATACTGGAAGAGATAAAGGTTGAGAATTTGCCAATATTAAGGACAGACACCAAGCCACCGATCCAGGAAGTTCAGAGGACACCAAACAAATCTCTACACACACTAAGCGTATCAAAAATGCTAAAACAAAAAGAATCTTAAAGGCCCAGAGGAATAATGCCATGTGATCTAGTGGGGATGTTAAAATTTACCGAATGATGCAAGACTGAAGACGATGAGTGACCAGTGCTGAAAGAAGAAAACCTATCAACCCAGAGTCCCACACCCAGTGACGATATCTTGGAAAATAAAGGACAAACGGGCACCCGGGTGGCTTGGTCAGTTAAGCGTCTGACTTCAGGTCATCTCACCACTCAGGCCCTGAGCTGAAGCCCCACGTCAGGCTCTATGCTGACAGCTCAGAGCCTGGAGTCTGCTTCAGATCCTGTGTCACCCTCTCTCTCTGACCCTGCCCCGCTCCTGCTCTGTCTCTCTCTGTCTCTCAAAAATAGATAAATGTTAAAAAATATTTAAAAAAAATTTTTTTTTAAAAAGGACAAATAAAACCTTTCTAAGGAAACAAAACAGAGACCACATTGCCAGAAGACCTGTTTCTAGAAATATTAAAGGAAGTCCTTGAGACAGAAGGAAAATGAAACCAGGCAGAGATGGGGACCTACAGTGAAATTCAGAGTACCGGAAATGGAATAAATGAAAGCAAAATTTAAAATTTTTGAATTGCCTTAAAATAAGTCTAAAGAGGTCGGCAAGCCTGTAAAGGCACGGCTAAATATTTTAGGTTTTGCGTGACCTCTTGTAAACACTACTGCTGGGACGTGAAATCCGTCTTAGACAATAGGCAATGTGCATGGCTGCCTTTCAATGAAACTGTGGACCCTGAGATTTGGACTTCATGTAATTTTTATGTGCTACATGTTAATTCTTTTGACTTTTTCTCCCCTAATCACTTAAAATTGTTAAAGCCATTCTTGGCTCATTGGCCATCCTTTAGAATGTATGTATTTATTTATAGCATATGTAAAAATAAAAAATATGTATACATACATGAATGGTGGTATATCTGTACACTGAAATACTGAGCAATAAAAGGAATAAACCTGATCCAGTAACATGGATCGGTTTTGAAATAATGATGCTGAGTGAAAGCCAGACAAAAGTGTGCATACTGTTTGAGTTCATCCATGGAAAAATTCTAGAAAACGCAAAGCAGTCTCTAGTGACAGAATGTAGTTAAGTAGTTCTCTGCAAGTGCAGGGTGGGGGCGGGGAGTGGGAGGAGAAGGGGAAGAGAAGGAAGGGATTTAAAGTAATAAAAAAGACTCAAGTATATGACAGCCTGAAGAAGAGAAGGGAGGAAATGGGAATCCACTTTTGTAAGGTCTTAATGCTGTGCACAAAGCAGAACTTTGAAGGCAACCTGGCTAAAGGGGTGTGTTGTAAATCCAAGGTCAGTCACTAAAATTGGTTTCTCCCCCTCTTGCCCACTGTCAGCCCCAGAGTTTTGTATAGGGTTCCACCCCCAGCCCCGTGGCAGCACAGGAGACTCAGGGTAAGCGATCATCATGTAGCGGCCACGGTGGCTGATATAGGCGCAGGCAGGTGACAGAGCCCACGGGACATGTTCCGGCTTTCCTTGGAAATGCTAGGACAGAGACAAATCAGCTGTACTTCAGAGAGTCACATGTAGAAGGACGTGAGCCCTGGCCAGAGCCCTGTTGTGACCCAAGACCTGTCGATGAGTGCGATCACCAGGAAGAGGTGAGCAGGCGAGAAGGGCAAGAACTTTGCAGTTATGTGAACCAATAAAGCTGTTTGCCTGAGTTGGTTCGGGCCGCGATTTTCAGTCACTTGCTCTGTAACGAAGTACCACCAATGTATTACCTTTCCACGGCTCCAGCATCCAAGCGTAGGTTAGCTGGGTCCTTTGCCCTGGGTCTCGCCAGTCTAAAATCCCAAGCTGTCCACCAAGTCTCTGATCTCAGCTGAGGCTCAGGGGCCTCTCCAAGCTCACTGTTGGCCAAATTCAGTTCCTGGTGGCATAGGACTGAGGCCCTCCATCCCTAGAGGCTGCTCGCCATTCCCTGCCACAGGGCCCGCTCCGCAACATGGAAGTTGACGTCTTAAAGGTGAACTCAAAGGTGCTGCTTTGAATTTCTCCTGCAGGAAGGCCTGCACCTTCTTTTGAAGGACTTCTCTGATTAAGTCCATCCAGGCCAATTTCCCTTTTGACTACTTCAAAGTCAACCAATTTGGAAACTTCATTATGTCTGCATAATCCCTTTACCTTCGCCATGTAACATTATGTATTCACAAGAGAAAACCCCATCATATCCACAAGTTCTGCCCACACTCAAAGAGAAGGCTTTATACAACCACGTATAGCACTGAGTGGGAATCTTGGGGACCACTTTAGAATTCTGCCTGCCACAGACACCTGATGCCCTTGTGCTTTACACTTAGTCATGAATCAGTTTCTGGGAATTCTCCAAGTTCAACGAGACTTCAGCGTTGTCTCCTGTCTGGCCTCTTTTTACTTGGCTTTCCAATTGCCTGGTTACTTGTCTCTCTTCCCCATTAGAAGCTAAAAACCGAATAAATAATCGTCATTCTACATCCCAGCTCAACCTGGCCCAGGTTTGGTGCTCCGCAAACATTTGTTGTATGGGTACATGGAGGTGATTCTCACACTGGGGATGAGGATTAATCTAGATGGCTTTAAAGAACACATTGTGAAAATTCTTTAATTCCACCCTGCTGACGGCATCCAGTCCAAATTCAAGTATGGTTTAAGCGCTCCTACCTGACTTCCCCCATGCACACTTCTGTGCCCTCACCACTGTCGTAGTCCACTTTCCCTTTCATGCTGTGCTCTAAGAAAGAACCCTAAACCACTTCATCTCTAGGCTGGTTTGCTTTCTTACTTTCACGGTGGTGCCTGCATTTCCTTAGCCTAGAACGGTCTTCCCTACATCAGCTGACCTAATCCTGCTATTCCTCATCTGTATATAAACTTAGAAATCACTACCCCAAGAAACTTTCCTTCGTCACCCTCTCCTGCCTGCCTCTGTGTTTAGAAGCTCCTTTGGGCTTCTATAACCCTCTAAGCTTCTTCCCCCTTTCCTAGAACTTGTTACCTCTTGCAAATTGAGTCCATCTCCCCTACCAACTTGAGCTGTCTTGGAGAGCAGAGAGCAAAGCTTCCTTATTTGGGGTCCCAATACTGGCCTGGTCTTGGTAAGGACCATGAATAGTAGTTGGACAAACAGATTCCATCTCTATTTTGCAATTTAGGGTCTTTCAAGATATTCATACTTCCTGATGTCCCAGGCCCGGTGGGAGGCCAGCCTAGCGGGCCCTGGCTCATCTACAGGTTCTGAGCCCAGGCCACGGGGCAATGGACATTGGCCAGCACAACGTCTGAATGACAGGCTTGTTCCTATTGGCTTGGGAAGGCTATTTTAAAATTCTCATCTGCCACCTACTGCTCCTTTCAAAGAGAGTGGGCATGGGGAATTACGAGGCGAAATGCCTGGCATTCCTGGTCCTGCTGTCACTTAGAGCTTCACGGTGACGAACTGTAGTTAGACAATGTGCTGCCCAGAGATGAGACACCAGTCTGAGGCAAGAACTGGTGATCTCCGCTGGGACACCTTGTTCAGTTGCTGAGCATTTGACAGTAGCTTTTCCCTCTCCCTCCCCCCCCCCCAAGACCCTGCTTTACAGAGGATGAGAGTTGGCCCAAGCTTTGCAAGGACCACAGGCTTCAGCCCTAGAGCTGCGATGGGGAGGAGAGCCCACGGCTCCGTCCCATCTCTCCCGCAGGCAAGAATCGAGCTGTGTGTCCCTGTGCTCTGGACTCAATCATGAATCTCTCCGTTTCTGGGATGCTCCATATTCAAAGACCTGATAAATTTTGGACCTGATAAATTCAAAGACCTGCTCATTTTGGACGAGTGACCAGTTACGTACCAGTATAACGGGGGAACTGCTCACATAACCATCCGTCCGAACGGCACTTTCTGACGTCGTGCACCGCACCACCTGCGGAGCTGTGTGCGATGGTTCTGCTGAACCCCGAAGTCGCCAACTATGAGGACAGGAGCATGTGCGGGGAGGTGAGATGGAGGTAAAACCCTTGGTAAGCAAAACTAATAGCCCATACCTGTGGATCGGTGACTGTATTCTTTTAAGTGTTCTAAGCACGTTCCCAGTAATTCTGTGAGGTCAGTACTTTTATCACCATCAGTATCATTTTACAGATAAGAAAATCAGAAAAAATGACAAAATCTGGTCCTGAACTCACTTAAGTGCGCCGGGCTCACACCGCAGACAGCTCGGCTAGAACTCGCCGGCGCGCCCCCTGCGCTCTGTCTCCCGCAGCTCAGGGCGCCGGTGCGCGTGTCCCCCGCCCGCCGTTCGCTTAGCGTAGCGCCTGGTCACGCGCAGGCGCGGGGGCGGGGCCCGCGCGGGCGCCTGCGCGCTTGCGCGCCGGGGGCCGACCGATCCCTGCCCTGTCCGGCGGCGCCCGCGCTGAGTCCCGCGGCCATAGCCGCGTCTTCTGTCGGCTCCGCCACCAGCCGGGGCTCGGGCCCGGGCCCGGGCCCCCGGGACATGGCCCTCCGGAGCGCGCAAGGCGACGGCCCCACCTCCGGCCGCTGGGACGGCGGCGCCGAGAAGGCAGGTACGGAAGCCGGCGGGGACGCCGAGGAGCGGCCTTCGGGGACGACTCGAGGGGCGCGGGCGGTCCTGCGGGTGGAGGGGGCCGGGGGGGGGCGGGGTAGAGGCAAGGGACAGCTGTCGGAGGAGCGGCCCCGGGCGCAGGCGGCGTCCAGTCGGGGCCCGAGGGACCGCGCGGGGTGCGCCCGGCGCCGCGGGCCGGGGTCGGGACGGCGGGAGAGGGAAGGGGTGATGGGCCCGGTCACGTCGGAAAGGGAAGCGATCCTGGAACTGGGGAGTCAGCGGATGCTGAGACCGCAGAAACCCCGCTGGCCGACTCGCGTCCCCTGTGCGAAGGGAGGGCGGGGGATCTGGTCCGGCTTCGTCACGTCTGGAGAGAATTTGGGTCTCCGGGAGAACCGAGGCCAAGCCTCCACGCCCGGCCCGAGGCTGTCCGGCCACGTCCGCACGCTCCCGGTGCCGCCTCCCTAGTTGTAAGGCAAGTTTCCCGAACTTCATTCATCGCTCGCCGGCTCGATTTACGCGGTGTCCGTGTACCACCTATTTGTTTTAATTGCCATAAAAAAAAAAACCAAAAAAACCCAGCCTTTTAAAATGTGCAGTGCCCAGGGTCTTACTTAGCACATTTACAGCGTTGTGGGGTCATAGCCACTGTCCGATTCCAGGACCTTTCCAAGTCCCTAAAGAAACCCGTCACTCCCCATTCCCCCAGCCTCCACGGCTCCTGGCGACCACTGGTCTACTTTCTGCCTCTGTCCTGTGCCACGTCTCTGAATATTGCTTAATTGTGTAGGAGAAAGCGACTCTCCCAGACTCCGTAGTCTCATACTAAGCAGTAATTTCTATGAAACGGCGGGTTCCTTGTGCACTGGTTTTGAAGATGCTTTACGGACAATCAGGACATGACACTTAAAAATTATTCGTGTTTACTCTGTACCCGAGTCAAATAATCTCTTTTTTTCCCTAAGATAAGGTAGCTTTCCCACTTTTCCGGCCTCTGATGGGCGCTGCTCATAATAGAACCGACCACGTAGTCAACCCACATTTTTGGTGAAGTGCCTGATGTCCACATTTTGTTTCTCTGGGCTCATTTTTTGTTGTTTTCTTTTCATCCTATTCTAATCCTGGATGGAAGTGGAGCTCACGCCTCGTATTATTTCTTTGGCCTTTGTAATCCCTTTGCTGGTGTTTTGGTATGACATATGTCCTCATGGCGTAATGGTGTCCTCAGTAGCATGGGTTTTGTGACCTGTTACATGGGGTGGCTGTGCCTAGGTTGTGAGACCTAGTTTCCTTACTAATACTGGAAGCCCTCCTTTGTAGACTTTATGATCACAGTGGTTTCCTCTCTAGAATATTTTTTTCTTTATTGTTAGGGTAAAGCAGTCTTCCTTAATCCATGCTTTTCTTCCTGTTTCAGGTAGTTAATGCATCTCTGCTAATTTGGATACTGTTTGTGAAATTTATTAGGACTTCCAGAAACAGAGGCTGCTTTGTTTTTTTTAAATGTTTTATTTATTTCTAGGAGAGAGAGAGAGACAGCATGAGCAGGGGAGGGTCAGAGAGAGAGGGAGTCACAGACTGAAACAGGCTCCAGGCTCTGAGCTGGCAGTCAGCAGAGCCCGACGCGGGGCTCGAACCCACGAACCGCGAGATCATGATCTAAGCGAAAGTCGGATGCTTAACCGACTAAGCCACCCAGGCGCCCCTGTTTTGTTTTGTTTTTAATAGGAACCTTACTCCAAGTCAGGTAAGGTGTTCCTCTCCCGCTGCCTTTATCTGGTACAGATACGAAGTTCAGACGTAAAATTTCAAGTTGTTTTCCAGTGTCAACATTAGGAATGCAAGGAATGGGGTGGAGGGGCTCTGTTTAGGGGGGATCTCTATCCCCTCTGGCCAGGTCTTCCGTTGTTTTGATTAAGGCTGGCATTGCTTGATTTGAGTTTAACTTGTATTTAAAACTGGCCACGCTTTCTCAGAGCACCTGGCTGGCTCAGTCGGTAGAGCATGCGACTCTTGATCTCAAAGTCGTGAGTTTGAGGAAGAAGAGTTTGCTTAAAAAAAAAGAGAGACTAAAGTTTTCTTGATATGCAAACTTAAACCAAATCATCGGTATGGAATTTTGTACTCGCACACAGGTTTTGTTATTAAGTGTGTAGATCATTTTTCCTGATCTAAGTCACTACTACTATGCATGTGCTGATGTGGAAAAACTTTTAGAGGAAGCGTAGCTAGTGCTCCTCTTTTCTCACTGTCCTTTCTCTGTGTATTAAGTTCCCCAGCTCAGATGGTTTTTGGAGATACCTGTTGCTCGGAGGATCTTTACCTGGGTTCTGTGGCCGGAGGTTGAGAGAGGCGTGCGAAAGTTATGGGCTCCGCCAACCTTGTCTGAACTGTTAAGGACCCCTGCCTCAGTTCTCTTATTAAAAATGGTTTTCGTGGAGAACAGGTCAGATAGGACCTCTATCATATTTTCCCCTTTGTTGACTGAATTACTTTTCAGATATCTGGCTTTTTCTTTTTTTTACTAGCAGCGTCTTCTATATTTTGCAGCCAGTTGTAGGATAGTTATTTCATTCCGTCATGGTTATGATAGCCAGGACCTCCACTGTAAAGGAATTTGGAAAGTACCAGCTTTGGAATATATATGATACATCTCTCTTGTAGGCGGGGCAAAAGGAAACTGGGGAAGAAAAGATTCAGGGGACTTTGGATGACATTTATGGATGAAATGTGGACTTTCTCAAGTGTAGAAATGTGTGTCTCACCCCAAAATCCATATACAAAATTTCTCTTAAAGTAGACAGTAGATGTTAATTTCAGTGTTTCCCAAGAATAAGCCTCTGATTTCTCCCTCTCTGAGGTGGAATCAGCTGTTCAGCAGAGATTGCTAACCTTTGCTTCCTTGTCGTGTAGCTTAGCAGTTGACCTTATCACTCTATACTTTGTGCAACTCCAGCTCGCCTGAGTTTTCTGTTTTCTCCTTTTTTACATCACATCGAGAGCCTATATATCAGTGCAGTAAATTGTTGTTTAAGGAGGCGAGTGGCACACATAGACGTGCCCTTGATGTGGGAGCCTGAACAGACCGCAGCTAAAGTCCACATCTAAGCAGTATCCTGCTCCGGAAAGTACCAGCAACTTTAGAAAAAGGCCAAAGAGTCTATAAATCTATTTAGAGTTGTGCACTGAGCCCGTTCTTAACAGGGGGATGGGGGGAATAATGTCATTTACTGTAGGCCGATTTTCCCAGAGCAACAGTGACTGAGCTAAATTATTTCTTTTATTCTGCACATGTCTGTTGGGTTCCCACAGAGTGCCAAAAGCGGGAAGACAGTAGTAAGTTTGGAAATGCAGGATTAAAACTAGAATCGGAGCAGAGCGTGAGGAGAATTAAGTGTTGGAACTGTGGTTCCCAAGGAGTTTAAGTTCTAGCAGATTATTTGCCAAAGCACAGTGGGAGTGCGGCTGATTGCCGACAGTGCTATTTACCCCAGGTTACTCGCAGCAGTGTCCCTTCCCTCAGGTTGGCGAGCAGCTTACCTGGGAAGAGGGGTCGAATAGACAGGTGTCTAAACAAATTGAAGAAGTGTTTCCACACTCTTAACAAGTAGATTACCAAGATTTCTAAATGTCAGCTTACCTCAGGCAGCATGCAGTGTTATCATTCTAAGTGTTATTAGTTTGTGATGTGTAGAAAGTACAAGGGCACTCTAAATTTAAAAAATATATGTGTGTGTATATAAAATATCTGCCGCTGTTTCTTTCTTTGCCAGAAATTAATCTAATTCCTGCCATGTTTTGTCTTAGCCGAAGTGGTTATATAAAAAGTTGCCTTTTTGGGGGCATCTGGATGGTTCAGTCGGTTAAGCATCGGACTTCGCTTCAGGTCACGATCACAGTTTGTGAGTTCGAACCCCATGTCGGGCTCTGTGCTGACATCTGGGAACCTGAAGCCTGTTTCAGATTCTGTGTCCCTTTCTCTCCCTCTGCCCTTCCCCTGCTCACACTCTGTCTCTCTCTCTCTCTCAAAAATAAACATTAAGAAAAAAAATTTTTTAATAAATAAGCATTTAAAAAAAAGTCTTGGGGCTCCTGGGTGGCTCAGTCAGTTAAGCGTCTGGCTCTTGACTTCTGCTCCCATCATGATCTCACAGTTCGTGGATTCGAGCCCCAATCGTACTCTGCACTGGTGATGTGAGGCTGCTTAGGATTCTCTCTCCCTCCCTCCCTCCCTCCCTCTCTGTCCCTCCCCCACTCATGTGCTCTGTCTCTGTCTCTCTCTCAAAATAAATAAATAAACTTAAAAAAGTCTTCTTGTACATGTCTACAGTCCCTTTCTGAACAGATACAGCCTTCTCTTCCGAAGGATGGCCCTTTGACCCAAAGTTAAGGATTCCTTCCTAGTCTTCCTCCTGAGTGCAAGATAAAACCCAGACTCCTTTATAACCCACGTCTCCAGCAGCCTTCCCAGGTTCTGTTTTCTCTCTTTACCTACCACTTGAGGTCTCTGTCTGTTTCCTCGAATGATATTTCTTTCATGTGATAAGACCTTTGCACGCCCTCTTCCCTCTGCCTGGAATGCTCTCCCATCAGCACAGTGCAAAATTTGCTTTAAGAAGGTGGCAGAAGGGGAGCCTGGGTGGCTTAGTCGGTTAAGCGTCCAGACTTTCGCTTAGGTCATGATCTCGCGGTTCGTGGGTTCGAGCCCTGCGTCGGGCTCTGTGCTGACAGCTAGCTCAGAGCCTGGAGCCTGTTTCGGAGTCTGTGACTCCCTCTCTCTCTGACTCTCCCCTGCTCATGCTGTCTCTCTCTCTCTCTCTCTCTCCTAGAAATAAATAAAACATTAAAAGAAGAAGAAGAAGGTGGCAGAATATATTTTCATTGAAGCCTTTCCTGACTGCCTCAGAAATTAGTCATTCTTTACTCGGGATTTTCAGAATTCGGCATGAATCTGTTCTGTCGTAATTGTGAGCCTCTCAGAGGCTCAGGGTCGTATCCATCTTTTCTCCCCCCGCGTCGTGCTTAACTACCAGTGGATGCTCATTAAGTGATGGACTGATAGGCAAATGGACAGACCAATGAGTGGCTGGGTAGACAGACAGAAGTAAGGACACACACTCAGGCCAAGAATTTGAAGCGCCTTTTACAGACAGACGTTTGACTAGTTGGGTGCTCTGCGAACAGAGGGAATTGGGCCTTGATTTTTCATGATTTCTGAGTAGAGTAACCAGTTGACTGAGCGTCCAAGCTGGGACATCTCTGAGAGTGCAGCTAGCGGGCGGGATTTACATGGGTGATCATTCTGGGGCTCTGGGCTCAAACCAGGAATGTCTCGAACAAACAGGACCGGATGGCTGTCCCGCCAGGTGAAAAAAAACCATTCAGCCAGGGGGACAGGTTTCCAGGGGGAGGAGGCACCTGCGTTGCATTTGTAGCTGCACCTCCGGCTGCATGGGACTCGAGTGTTTTGTGTGGTTAGTGTGTCACACCTGTTATAGGTAAGTAACCAGGACCGACTTTCATTAGTTTGGTGTTGATAATGTGCATCTTTGTCCTGGAAGCAATTTGTAGGCTGTTGTCTCAATAAAATACTACTGAGGAAAGTTGCTTTATGTCTCTTTTTTTTTTTTTAATTTCTTTTAATGTTTATTTATATTTGAGAGAGAGAGAGAGAGAACACACGCAAGCGGGGGAGGGGCAGAGAGAGAGGGAGACCAAATCCGAAACAGGCTCCAGGCTCCAGCTGTCGGCACAGAGCCCAACGCAGGGCTTGAACTCACGAACCCTGAGATCGTGACCTGAGCCCAAGTCGGATGCCCAGCCGACTCAGCCATCCAGGCTCTCTTCCCCCTGTTTTAAAAAAAAATTTTTAATGTTTATTTATATTTGAGAGAGACTCTGTGGCCCTCCTAAAGCCTAACCGACTTCCGGTGTTCCTCTTCTCCAAAGCCCAAACTTCCATCCAGAGTTACCTCTCACTTATGTTAACGTAGTGTCTTGCAGCTTGTAGTTGCTACATAAATATATTTCTAAAGAGTCTGTTGACTGTCGGATGGAAGGGACTTGTGTTTTTTTCCTCCGGGCCTTTCTTCTCTCTACCGCTCCCCGTGCCTCAGGAAATCCTCCCCTTCCTTTTGAAATTGCATTTCCCGGTAATGCCTTCTCAAGTCAGCCTGACCTACGGCAGTCTCTTTGGGCTCTTGGTGTCTGCACATCCCTTTTTGGGGGCAGTTACAGTACACGGCTTTGTAACCTCTCCTTGGAATTGTCTTGTTTAACTTTTCTTGCGTTTGCAGTTCCGAAAATTAGGCATGCATTCTTTTCTTTTCTTTTCTTTTTTAAAAGGAGATAGCTTATTTATTTACTTATCTGTTTTTAGGTTTATTTATTTATGAGAGAGAGAGAGAGAGAGAGAGAGAGAGAGAGAGAATACCAGCGAGGGAGGGGCAGAGAGAGACAGGATCTGAAGTAGCTCTGTGCTGACAACAGAGAGCCCAATACGGGGCTCGAACCCTCGAACCATGAGATCATGACCTGATGATCTCTATCACATAGGGATGTAAGATGCTCAGAACATCACTTGTACCTAATATGGTTGTCAGGAAACCGTTGTTCTGTGTGCACAATCATGCCTCTCCTACCACCAGCCACGTTGGAGACCCAAGTATACCCTTGGATATTCTGGTTTTGAAAATATGTAGGGGAGGGCACCTGGGTGGCTTAGTCGGTTAAGCGTCTGACTTTCGCTTAGGTCATGATCTCGTGGTTCGTGGGTTCGAGCCCCGCATTGGGCTCTGTGCTGACTGCCAGCTCACAGCCTGGAGCCTGTTTCAGCCTGTGACTCCCTCTCTCTCTGACCCTCCCCTGCTCACGCTGTCTCTCTCTCTCTCTCTCTCTCTCTCCTAGAAATAAATAAAACATTAAAAAAATATATATGTAGGGGGCCCTGGCTGTCTCAGTTGATAGACTTTGCAACTGTTGTTCTCGAGGTCACGAGTTCAAGTCCCACATTGAGTGTGGAGCTTACTTAAAAAATAATAATAAAGGGGTGCCTGGGTGACTCCATTGGCTGAGCATTGGACTCTTGGTTTTCAGCTCAGGTCATGATCTCATGGTTCGTGAGTTTGAGCCCCACATCAGGCTCTGCAGTGACAGTACAGAACCTGCTTGGGACATCTGTTTCCCCTCGGTCTTTGCCCGTCCCCCGCTCGCTTTCTCTGTCTCTCTCTCTCAAAATAAACTTAAAAAAAAGAAAGGAAGAAAATGTCTCTGTGTAATTCTTATATGTTACTAGTTGTATTAGCATGTAACTGGAAAATTTTTGTCTCCTGGTTTTATTTTATTTTATTTTATTTTATTTTATTTTTTTAATGTTTTATTTATTTCTAGGAGAGAGAGAGAGAGAGAGAGACAGCGTGAGCAGGGGAGGGTCAGAGAGAGAGGGAGTCACAGACTCTGAAACAAGCTCCAGGCTCTGAGCTGGCAGTCAGCACAGAGCCCGACGTGGGGCTCGAACCCATGAACCGTGAGATCATGACCCAAGCAAAAGTCGGACGCTTAACCGACTAAGCCACCCAGGCGCCCCTCTCCTGGTTTTATTTTAAAACACAGTATTGAATTTTGGTGATATGCATATAAATAGGAAAGATTGTTATATAAAGAGATATGTATGTTCTGTGAAGTTTGGCATTAAGAAAGAATAAGCAGTCTATTGTATTCTATTTCTATTTCTGTTCTATCCTATCCTATCCTAAAACATTAACAGTAAATATTAGATATGCCTGAGTTTACTGAGCACTTACTGTAATGGTAATTCCTTGCTTGTTACATTTTATATAGTGTTTTGCACATTATGCGCTAATTATGTTTGTAGGACAACTAAGAATACCTAGCTGTACCCCAAACCAAATAAGGAGATTGAGCCCTGCACAGAAAATGCACACGTGTTGAATATGTGCCTAATGCCTGTTTCCCCCTTTGTTTTGCAGACTTTACTGCCAAAAGGAAAAAGAAAGTGGCAGAGATATACCAGGCTCTGAACAGTGACCCCACCGATGTGGCTGCCCTTAGGCGCATGGCTATCAGTGAAGGAGGGCTCCTGACTGATGAGATCCGACAGAAAGTGTGGCCCAAGCTCCTCAATGTCAACACCAGTGACCTGCCTCCTATATCGGGTAGGGAGGGGGGGTTGGGGGGGAAGCTTGTCTAAGACTCGAGGACAGAAGAATTTCAGGATCTTTCAGTCATAATGCTCATTTTAAACCAATCGTAGATGAGTAAATCTGAAGCATTTTAGGATACGTTTGGGCCCACTCTGAAAATAAGGCCAAACTGATAATAGACTTTTCTTCAAAAATGGAGTAAACTTTTACTAGGTCGACAGGTAGCTTTTATCGGCTAGGGATGGGAATTTATATTCTGGTCTGGGTTCACTTAGAGGGGGATTGTAGGAGACCGTATTTTTACAAGACCCCGGCTAGTTCTGGTGCAAATGAACCACATTTTGAGAAACTCTAGGTCATGGGGAGAGAGAATATTTCTCCGGCTCTTAAGAAAAACAAAACCAAACAAAATTTTTTGTTGGTAAATACTAAGATCGTTTTGGATTCTCAGATTCTGTAACTATGTGAAAAGCTCTTCCTTAACTAACTTGCAAGAAGGCCCAGGCAGAGAGTTCCTTGGAATATAGTACAAGATATAAGGAGAGCACTGAAAATAAAGACTCCACCTTGTCATTCAGTCACTCAGCACTGGTGGCCGTCCTGCTGTGTACAGCAGAAGCCCAGGTGCTGGAGAGGATGAACACGGCTTCTGTTGCTCATGGTGCGGCCGAGTGGGCGTCAAGTTGCCTCTTGTGCTTGTCTTCGAATCCGGCTGCCTCCGAGCAGTCGGCTTCGACTTGGAAGGAAGAGACATTGCCATCTTCACACCCTATATCCCGAGATGAAGTTCTCTCAGATCACAGACTTCCCAGATCTTTATACGATGAAGTCTGCACGTGGGGAGGCGTCACGCGTAGCTTTCGGTCGTGGTTGGGATGGGAATGGGCCCTTGTGACGTAACGCTCAGCTCAGTGGAGGCAAGTGTTCGCGCTGTCCGCGTACAGCAGCTAGAGACCGCCTCGTTGTTTTCACGGAGTTGGACCCAGCAGCCGGACTCGGGTGCCGGCTCCTGTTTGCACTTAGTCTTAGACTTTCAGGGTCCAGTGGGGTGAGGATCTTAGGGAGTTTACCCCCGTACGCCTTTCCGAGCAGCTCTGTGCTCCCGGGGCTCTACGGCTGTTCGGGTTTTCCCAGGGGTGTCCCTGTCCACGATCTCATCTGATCCTTGTGGTAACCTGAGAGGTACCCGTGGAAGGAAATATCTCCTTTATGGATGTGGGCTTTGAAGGTCAGAGCGGTCCCCTGGTGACACAGGGTGGCAGCCTCCAGTAGGTCTCCCCCGGCCTCCTGCCGCCGCGCCCACTGCCCCTTCTGTCCCACGGTTGCCTCCTGCACAGTCCGTGTCCCTCCTCTTACGGTCGCCTTGGCTCCCCTGAAACAGCGGGCTTGGAACTAACGCGGGGGACCCTCTCTAGGTGTTGTCTCGTGTCGTGTGCTCTGTAGGTAAAGCTGAAATGTGAGCTCCAGGGCCAGGGTGCCATCGCAGAACATCTGTGTCCCTGATCCGGCCTCCTCCCAGCCTCTGCCACAGTAACGCTCCTTTTCCTCCCACAGGGAAGGACCTGCGGCAGGTGAGCAAGGACTACCAGCAAGTGCTGCTGGACGTCCGCCGGTCCCTGCGGCGCTTCCCACCCGGTGAGAAGCGCGCTCGCGGCCTGGCCGCATGGCCAGGAGCTCCCACCCCAGCTGCACAGGGGCGGGCGGGGTAGGGGGGAGCTTTATACACTCCACTCGGTCACCTTCAGACCCCGCACTACCAGAGTCTGAGCCAGAAGCCCTTGCTCTTGGCCTAGAGGTGGTGAATGAAAACCCTAGGGGTTTTCCCCCTTCAGAGCCACGGGGGCCACTTCGTAGGGACCGCCCTAGCCGTCGTCTGGCCCTAAGGCCAGGCCGGTGCACCAGGGGGCACTCCCCAGCGCCACGCATGCCCTCGCTCCATTCCATTTCTCATATGCACCTCTGTGGGGCCCTGGACCGGACGGGAGGCCGTTCCCTGCGTGGTGAGAGGGGCTGTTGGAAAAACGGCTTCCCGCGCCGAGGAGGAGGAGGAGGAAAACGGCCGGCTCGTGGCTCCGTGGCTCCGTGGCTCCGTCTTCCCGGCGAAGGCAGCCGGCGACAGGCATCGTGCCTAGGGCCCCGTTGTCTTCCTCTGGTGGCCTCGCCTTGGCGCAGGTCCAGGGGGAAAGGGGAACTGCGGCGGGGACGGGAGCCTCTAAACCCGTCGCCCCCCTCGGGCACCGTGCTGTGGTGCGGATTCTGCCCCTCGAGGCGCCTTCTCTCCCGTTCGCGCCCTTGTCCCCTGCTCGCTCTGGAGCACGTGGGGCCCGGTCCCCTCTCCCTGGGCTGCGGGCCTGCATGAGACCACACAGGTCGGGGCTCCGGGGTCCCCCAGCACCCCCAGCCAGCCTTCTCCTCGCAACCCTCCCTGCTGCTTCCCTCTCTGGGCCATTGATGCTGGAGGCCGTGTGCGGGCCGCCGCTCGCTGTGCTTTCCCAGCCTTCTTGTGGCCGCGCTGTTCTGGGCTCGGCTCGGCTCCCTTACCCTGAAACTTCGGGGCGTCGGTCAGTCTCTCCCCCTTGATTACATTTCCTACATAGTAGCTGCTTTACTCCATGTTCTTTTTGGTTTATCTGTTAGAGTATTATGCCTTTTTGAGAAAAGGTGGGGTAAATATGAGCGACAGATTAATTTGCTTTTACCTTAACCGTTTGTTCAGTGTAGTTTGGGCGCTTCTATGAACCGTTTTCTCTCCGTGTCTGTCTGGAGCTGGAAGGGCTGGTGGTGTGGGGGCCACCCTTCCACAGCAGCTCACAAGGCCACATTTTGGCAGTTTCTTCTTTAAATTTTTTAAATGTCTATTTATTTTTGAGAGAGAGAGAACGTGCACACAAGCAGGGGAGGGCAGAGAGGGGAGACATAGAATCTGAAGCAGGCTCCAGGCTCTGAGCTGTCGGCACATACCAGATATGAGGCTCGAACTCACGAACTGGTTCATGAGTTCAAGCCCTGCATTGGGTTCTATGCTGACAGTGCAGAGCCTGCTTGGGATTCTCTCTCCCTCTCTCTCTGCCCCTCCCTGGCTCACATGCATAGTCGCTCTCTCTCTCTCAAAAAGAAATAAACTTAGTAAAAAAAAAAAGGTTATATTCCTGTGATACTTAGCTTGGCTTAGAGGAGAACACACAACTATTAAATTTTTTATTTTTAGATAATTTCTAACCTATAGAAAAGTTGCAAAAATAGGACAAATAATTCCCTAGATATATTTTACCCAGATTTCCTTACATGTTAGCATTTTGGTATATTTGTTTTAGTGTTGTCTTATGTTTTTCCTGCACACACACACACACACATTTTTTTTTCTGAACTATTTAAGAATAAATTACAGACATGGTGCCCCTTTACCCCTAAATATTTCAAGGTGTGTGTCCTAAAACAGGGCCCTTACATAATCACAGCACACTTATTAAAATCAGCAACACACTGAAAAATACTGCTTCTAACGTATATTTTATTCAGATCTCACCCTTTACTGCAATAATGTCCTTCACAGGGAAAGGAGATACAAACGCATGTATTTCCTGTCCAGTCATCGTGTCTCTTTAGCCTTCTTTAACCTGGAATGGTTCCTTTGTGTTTTATGACTCTATTATTTTTTTTAAATTTCCCTCAATTTGGGTTTGTCTAGTATTTCCTTATGATTAGATTCAGGTTTATGCACTCTTTTTTTTGTTATCTGTTTATTTTTGAGAGAGAGCACAGCAAGGGAGGGGTAGAGAGGGAGACACAGAATCCGAAGCAGGTGCCAGGCTCTGAGCTGTCAGCGCAGAGCCTGATGCGGGGCTTGAACCCATAAACTGCAAGATCATGACGTGAGCCAAATTGGTTGCGTAACTGACAGAGCCACCCAGGTGCTCCTATTTCCTTATTTTTAAATATTTATTTATCTATCTATTGTTTAGTGTTTGTTTTTGAGTGACAGCACAAGCAGGGGAGGGACAGAGAGAGAGGGAGACCCAGAATCTGAAGCAGGCTCCAGGCTCTGAGCTGGCTGTCAGCACAGAGTCTGATGTGGGGCTTGAACTCACGAGTCATGAGACCCTGACCTGAGCCCCCCAGGCGCCCCAGGTTTATGTGCTCTTGATAGGAACTCCCCAGAAGCAACCCTGTGTTCTCAGTGCACACCTCAGGAGGCTCATGCTGTCGAGCACTCACACCCCGGGCGGTGTCCGCTGCGGGTACTTGGTTGGGACGCTCCTGCAGCTCCCCCGCTGCAAGGTTGCTGCTCTCTGGCCCTTGCTTGTGGCCTAAGCAATAGCAGTGGTATGTGGATTTTAACGTGTTGCCAAATTGTTCAGAATTCTTTTGTTGTTTTTTTTTTTTTTTATTAAAAACTTTGAAAATCCTCCGCTGCCTGTCCTCCTAACCTCCTGGTTACCAGGCTGCTTGCCGTGTTCAAGGGTGTCTCTCCTCTCCCCGCGCCCCCTCCCAGGCATGCCAGAGGAGCAGAGGGCGGGGCTCCAGGAGGAGCTGATCGACATCATCCTGGTCGTCTTGGAGCGCAACCCCCAGCTGCATTACTACCAGGGCTACCATGACATCGTGGTCACCTTCCTGCTGGTGGTCGGCGAGAGGCTGGCCACGTCTCTGGTAGAGAAGCTGTCTACCCACCACCTCAGGTACCCGCGCGTAGCAAGAGAGGAAGGGCATCGCTCCTCAGGCCCCCCTGAGGCTAACCCCTCAACCCATCGCCTGGCCGTCGTTTTCAGTGGTTGGAGCCCTGTTCCACCCGCTCCGCCCCGATCTGAGGATCTGAGCATTTGGTCTGACTAGGCTCAGCACATTGTCTCCCCTCTAGGGATTTCATGGACCCGACAATGGACAACACCAAGCATATATTAAACTGTCTGATGCCCATCATTGACCAGGTGAACCCGGAGCTCCACGATTTCATGCAGAGGTATGCATGCATCCCAGCTCACGCACACGGGCCCGTTCGGCACTCCCCTGGCCTGTGTCCCTTCCCTACGAGTCTAGCTCAGTCTCTGCGCCGTCGCACGTAAGTGAAGGTTAGGTCTTCCAGATCGTCCTTTCTGTCCGCCCACGAGCTGGATAGTTTGGTTCTGCACCTCCTGGGGCCACTTTCCGGGGACCGTGCCCTTGTCGGGCCGCAGCAGATGTCACGGCACAAGCCCCTGTGGAGTGCATCTCCGGTGGGGAGGTCGGGGAGATCCGTGTGCCGAGGCGGACTCTGAGGTGACTGCTGTAGGAGAAGAATAACTGCCGTAGGGCCCAAGTCGAGAAAGACAGTCATCCGTGGGTTGTTTTCTTCACCAAATACCAAAGAGAAGAAAGCCTTCTTTGCAAATCTCGTGAGATTTTTTTTTTTCTCTTCTGTGTAATTGGAAATGTGCCCTTGGCCAGTGCCTCACCCTTTTTTTTTTTTTTTTAATATTTTATTTATTTCTACGAGAGAGAGAGAGAGACCGCGTGAGCAGGGGAGGGTCAGAGAGAGAGGGAGACACAGACTCTGAAATAGGCTCCAGGCTCTGAGCTGGCAGTCAGCACAGAGCCCGACGTGGGGCTCGAACCCATGAACCGCGAGATCATGACCTAAGCGAAAGTCGGACACTCAACCGACTAAGCCACCCACGCGCCCCTCTTTTTTTTTTTTTTTTTTTAAATAATGGCTGTGTTTTAAGGTGTCTCAGTCATCTCACATTGATTGAACAGTTTATACAGTTGTTTTTAAGCCTGAGAATACATATATTGCCCAGGTCCCCAGAAGGTTCTGTGACTTTCTCAGGACAGCGACGGTACAGTGTGAAAACAGCTCTTTCTTCCCGTACATGACGTTCTTTGGCCGTTAGGGAAGCAGCCAGTGAGGTAAGGCAGCCAGGACCCCATCACAGTGTTCTGGTCGTGGTGGTGGGCATGGCGTAAGGACTGCATATTTTGTGAGAAGACGCGGCATTCCCAGGTGGCTTTACCAGATTCTTCCTTCTCAGAAGCCCAGAGAACAGAGCCGCCCCAGAGAGCGGGAAGGGACAGCCCAGCGGGGAACCTAATGGCTGGACTTCTTGCTCCTAGTGCCGAGGTGGGGACCATCTTCGCCCTCAGCTGGCTCATCACCTGGTTTGGTCACGTCCTGTCTGACTTCAGACATGTGGTGCGGTTATACGACTTCTTCCTGGCCTGCCACCCGCTGATGCCCATTTACTTTGCAGCCGTGGTAGGTACCGGCCACGAGCAAGCCACTGGGTCCCCCGTCCTCGATCATTTTTCCCCGGGGAAGACCCAGTGACTATGGACAGACAGGAAAAACAGCATTTCCCTGGACACCGCTCTGTGCATCGTCAAGGGGAGGGGAGTGTCCTGGGGAACGAAGGTTCTGTGGAAACGAGGTCTGGTAAATGCCGGGTGGAACAAAGTTAAACCAGTCTGTTTTCCGCATGGTTCCTTGGAACCTTTACAGCGCTCGTGTGCAGTGGGAGCGATCTGTGTCCTGCTGACGTCTCCCGGAAGGAGTGGAGACCGCAGCTGCAGGCCCGGGGAGTGCAGGGGCGCGGTGTTACGGGAGGACCCTGGCGTGGCTTGGTGGGGGCTCCGGTTAGGAGGCCCGAATGGTGGAGGGTGGGGCGGAGGTGGGAGCACACGGGAACCCTTCGCTGCTCTTGAAAGGGGGCGAGCCTGTTCCTTCTGCTGTGTTGGTCCATCTCTCCTGTGTTGATGCTCCAGGGGCATCCCCGATATCCCTTTCCTCTTGTTCCTCCTAAAAGAGCCGCACTCATTTCGTTGGTCGGCCTCCTGCATCCCGGGGTGTAGGTTTGCCTGTAGCAGGAAGGGCCAGCTCACTGGGAAAAGCATTCTGAGACGTACATGGTTGCATCCTAGACGGACGCGAGACTTTGTGGGAGGCGTAGGGCCAGCCCTGTCTATTTCCAGTTCAGATGCATCGCTCAGGAGAATGGTGCGTGGGTAGCGAAGGCCTTGTGTGTCCCGGTCTCTGATGCAAGGCCTTGCCTCCCACAGATCGTGCTGTATCGAGAGCAGGAGGTCCTGGATTGTGACTGTGACATGGCCTCGGTCCACCACCTGTTGTCCCAGATCCCTCAGGACCTGCCCTACGAGACCCTGATCAGTAGAGCTGGAGACCTGTTTGTTCAGTTCCCGCCATCCAAGCTTGCCCTGGATGCAGCTGCCCAGCAACAGGCCGAGAAGTGAGTGGGGCCAGGGCTCAGGTCGCACCGGGGATGTCGGCGAGGACTGTGAGCTGGGGATGGGGCGGGCCCTTGCCCCCAGAGATCTCGGCGCCTGCCAGCCAGACCCCCGCTCCAGTCTTCTGGGTCTTTGTCAACGAGAACGTTCTGAGCAGCACACAGCTCTGCCCTTAGCCTCCCTAACAGTCGAGTTTTTCCTTCCTTCCTTTCTCTTGTATCATTGCGTCCTTCCCATCCCCTTCCCTCTGCAGGACGGCAGCCTCCACCTTCAAAGACTTCGAGCTGGCCTCGGCGCAGCAGAGGCCCGACACAGTGCTGCGGCAGCGGTTTCGGGGCCTCCTGCGGCCCGATGAGCGGACGAAGGACGTCCTGACCAAGCCGAGGACCAACCACTTTGTGAAACTGGCAGTGATGGGGCTGACGGTGGCACTCGGAGCGGCCGCCCTGGCCGTGGTGAAGAGCGCCCTGGAGTGGGCCCCCAAGTTCCAGCTGCAGCTCTTCCCCTAGACGTCGCAGGGGGCGCAGCCACAGCCGTGACATTAAGGTCTCACCCTTCCATGGAAGGATTGGGAGGGGGTGGAATTTCCTTTATTAAAAGGGTTTCTGTCAAGGGTTTTCTATTCCTGCTGGCCCTCCCTGCCCGCCCGCCGTTTGCCTTTGCTTCAGAGGCCAAGTGCGGAGCCCACCTGGCATCTGGAGGCCCAGCCGCGGGACTTCTGTCCCTCTCGGGGGGGTGGCGGGGGAGAACGGGTGCACTCAGCGCTCCCCTTCCCCCCCCACTGCCGCCTCTCACGTTGGAGGAACTGGGTTTCTTGAGCGGCCAGCAGTTGTGGGGACCCTCTCGGCTGCCCAGGAGTTAGCAGCAGGCTGGGCCACCGGGCTCCCGGCCCGCCGCTACCCTGGATCTGCATGTGGCAGCCGCACAACAATAGAAGGAGCCGCTGCTGAGCAGGTCCGACCACGGAGTGGAGACGAGACAAGGGGCAGAGGCTGCCGGCCGGGCCCGGCCCCCCTCGCGGGCAGCTCCGCTTGCCGGGCAGAGATCAGACAGGCGTGAACTGGGTTACTGGGTAAAGCCTGCCTATTTTCAGTCTAGAAGTCCCTTGGGCATTTCCAGTCAAACATGGAGGGACGTCAGGTTGGAGGCCCAGACACAGACTGGCTCTGCCTGCCTTTTCTTTCCCCTCTCTGCTCCCCTGCACACGCCACATGATGTTGCTTTTAAAAGACACTTTTACTACCGTTTTTAGATTACAGGCACCTGACATATAAAGTGCCCTCACTTTAAAAATGATAGTTCCTTCATGGGAAAGCTGGTTCTCATCAGAAGGATAAGCTTCTGAGCCCCTGAACTTCCTCTCTCCCCAACTATTTAACAGCTCTCTTGAGCTCGAGTTGCCGTGTGCCAGCCGCTGCGCCCTCCCGGGGTGCCTGCGTGCTCAGCTCTCCTTCCTTCTCGCTGTCCTCAGGCCCCTCCCCTGCCCCGCGTGGGCACCCGCTCACTGCACTGGCTTCATTGTGGGGGTTCAGTTTGTCTCCTCAACTGCCGGTCTCTCCTTCCTGGTTGGAAGTGTCACTGGAAGCGTGTCGGCAAGCGGAGAGGGGCGCACCGCAGCCTGCCCAGAACAGCCAGCCCCCGCCCCCAGCTGCTTGAGGACCTCCCAGGACTTGGGGACAAGACGGCTCCTTCGGTCCTTCCTGGACAGCTTTTCCCGGAAGCGAAGCCAGGTGTGTTCAAGATCGACTCTGGCTTGAAAACAAAAGTGCCTTTTTGCTGCCCTAAAGAACTGAGGCGGAGGGTGTGAAGCAGCCAAGGCCGTTTCACTGTCCTGGTCCCTCGGGCACTGTTCTCTTGGCGGGCGTTTTCTTAAAGTGAACATGCCAGAGGCCCTGTCCCTTGGCATACCCAGACCACAGAGCGGAGGGCATCTGGTGCGCCGGGCGGCCAGCGGGCCCGGAGCCGTGAGGAGCGGTGTTGGCGCCGAGTCACGGAAGTGACACTAAGCACTTTAAGACAAAAGGTCCATGTGATGGGCCATTCTCTGTAGGAGGAGTCCCACTCGGGGCAAGTGTAATGTGGGTAGATTAATCTAGACAGTGAGGGGGGAGTCACGAAGACCAGGGGCGGGGCCGTGCCAGCTAGTCCCAGTCTTCTCCCCCAGCAAGTTTGTCCCCTCGTCATCCTTCCGGCTGGCCGGCAGCACGGGCGCTTCCTGCCCCACCGCTGGGGCCTGGCTGCCGACACGACACGGAAGGAACCGATGGGCAGGAGGCCATGTGACCAGGGTCCTGAGGCCACAGCCTTCAGGTCCCAGGAAGCAAGTGGCCCGTGCTTCTGTGCCTGCCTAAGGAGGGGGGTGGTTCATTGTGTCGCTTTGCTGACATCAGGGCGCCCCCTGCCAGTGAGAAGAAAGCATTATCCTCTTACCTTCAGGGGGTTTACTATTCTGTAAAGAATACATGTAAATATTTTGTACCGAGCGCTGTGTAAAATAAACAGCCGGACGTGGTTACTAGTCAGTGTCCTGACATCGCGTCCCATGCACCGCGTGTGGGAAAAGACTCCGGCCATACGCGCCTGGCCTTGGGACTTCCCGGGCCTGGGACTGTGCTGTAATCTGTGGCCCCTTGGCCTGCCTTGACTTGCCTGGGGAGTGCCTGTGCCCGGTTTCTCTCACCCGCGCCCCAGGTGCTGCCTGCGGGCACCGGTTACCGGTGAGCAGAGCCAGCCCTGTGGGGTATCAGTCTGGGCTCATCTTGCCTGTTCTCCACCTGCTTCTAGGGACGCCTGTGGCTCTGAAGGCTGCCATTTGGTTTGGGGACTTCATCGGAGTCGGATGTGAATATAACTATTTCTGCATGTGATTCCCATCCACAGAGGAGCCATCAAAAGCTGTTCTTGCAGGCTCTTCTGGCATCCCCTCAGCACTGCCAGCTGTTGGGTGGTGGGAGCCCAGAGCCGTGCCGGGTGCCTGTGGCCCCCGCCTTGAGGATGGGGCCATCCTGGAGGCAAGAACTGGGATGGTCTGGAACGCTCATTGACGTTTCCCTGGCCCAGAGGGGAGATATGAGGGCACCCGAGGCAGGGCAGGCACCGCTTGGCTCTTGGACCTTGCTCTGCCACCGCAGGCCAGCTGCCCGCTGCCCGTGGACCTGACACAGAGCAACCACTGCTGGCTGGGCCACCGTCCTGGGCCGCTGTAGCGAACAGGCAGCTTGTTTTGAGCGGCAGATTTGGCATCCCTTTCGCTAGAGCTGATGGCTGAATCTAAAGAGTAGAATTTTGGTACTTCCCGTGTTGAAGGAAGCATATGCACAGCATAGTAAGAAGTAACGAGGTTTTGTCCCCAGTTTCCCTAAAAGCCTTGGCATTTCCTGATAGGAGTGTCTTTCGTTGACAGCAGTTCCCGTTTGAGTTTCCGCTAAGGAGGTGATGAGGTGGGACCACTAGAGTTTCCAGAATGGACAGCTTTGGAGGGTGGGACTTTCACTCTTCCCACTGACCTCCCAGGAGGGGAGGGCACGGGCACTGGAAGCCGTGGCTACACCAGCTCCAGATTCAGAGATTTGGGAAACTTCTGGGGGACACCTCACAGTGCCGGGCGGCCATGCACCCAGAGAGGGCCTGGGGGCGCTGCACCTTCCTCCCCTAAGCTTGCCCTCTGCACCTCTTCCGTTCTACAGTTTGGGGAGTTGTAGCCTTCCTAATCAGTCTGTAAACGTAAGTAAAGTGTTTTGTGAGCCCTTCTAACCAAGCATTGAACCTGAGGGGGTGCCGTAGAAACCCTGGACTTTGTAGCTGGCTGGGAAGGAGGAGGGGCAGCCAGGGCATCCCATTTGCAGCCGCATCCGAAGCAGGGCGGTCTCGCGGGACCGAGTTAACCTGTGGGGCCTCCAGGCAGTTTGTGTCAGAATGGAGTTGTGTGGTTGGGCCCATTGGCGTTGAAGGACTGGAGAGGCGGTGTCAGAAGTGCCAGGTGAGGGGCGCCTGGGTGGCTTAGTCGGTTGAACGTCCGACTTTAGCTTAGGTCATGATCTCGCGGTTCATGGGTTCGAGCCCCGCGTCGGGCTCTGTGCTGACTGCCAGCTCAGAGCCTGGAGCCTATTTCAGAGTCTGTGACTCTCTCTCTCTGACCCTCCCCTGCTCACGCTGTCTCTCTCTCTCTCTCTCTCTCCCCTAGAAATAAATTAAAAACATTAAAAAAAAATTGTTAAAAAAAAAGTGCCAGGTGACAGGCAAGGGGAGGGGGAGATAGTGTGGAAAGAACAGCTGACTCAAGCGTGGGCGGGGGGTGCCCAGCCGGCTCAGCCCAGGGAGCGCGCATCTCTTGATCTCAGGGCCTGAGGTGGAGCCCCCACTAGGTGTAGAGCTCAGTGGGGAAAAAGTGCAGGTGTTTTGTAGGGAGATGGAGTGGGTACTTGGGGTCCAGGCCAGAGACAGCTTTGAGGCCTGGAGAAGGGGGCTGGGACTCGCTCGCTAGGCACTTTGGAAGGTGAGGATGGGCCATGCCACACCCGGGCGGGAGTGAAGGCCAGCGTGTGGCTTCCTGGTAGTGGGAGCTGCTCTGAGCTGCACCGTCCCTGAGCCTCAATGTCAAGAACAGTGAAACAGAGCCAGTCCCGTCCCACGTGGGCAGTTTAACGAGATGATGTTTGTGGAAATGCTGTGCAAGTGTTGTAATTCTTTCGCAGCGAACATTTATTGGTCAATAAATGCCTTTCGCTGCCTGGCGCTGGGACCCCCCGCGTTCATCCACGGAGTACGCGCTGCCTGCAGGGAAGACCAGGCCAAGGCTTTTGCCAAATCCAACCCAGAGATGATGGGGCGTGAGGCTCAGCCTGGCTTTCTCTTTGCCTGCCCTGCCTGCCCCTGCGGCCTCTCCCCTGTCCCGACAAAAGGCCCTCTAGTTGCTCGTACTCTTTTCTCCAGATGTACACATGGCTGGACTCTGCCCGGCAGCCTTTGTGAGCCAGCGAGACTGGGCTTGCCTCCAACTTCCTGCTCTTGAAGCGAGTGGCTGTGATGTCAGACCCAGGCGCCCACGCTCCACGTCCTGCCGGTGCCGCGGCGGCGGCCTTGCCCTCGCTCTCCCCGATCTGGGAGAGAGACTGTGCCGCAAGTCCCGCAAGCCCACGGGGGCCTCCTGCTGCTTCCTCAGGCAGGCGGCTCGGGGCCAGAGCCCGTGGGGTTTGGTTGCAAGTCTTCCCTGGTGAGTTGGCACTGGGCTGTCGGTGGTCAGGCCCCCGGAAATGGGCTGCCCCCTCGGGAGGTTGAGCGGCTGCACTTGACCTGCAGTAGGGAGCACCTGAGGCCTGCCCGTCTTGGACCCTTCACGCGCTGGCACGTCAGGTGCTGGAGGCCAGAACCTGCGCCAGCCCCGCACCCCTCCATCTGTGCTCCTGACCCTCCCGGCACGTCTGCGGTCGCACCCTGCCTGCCCGGCTACATGCGGGCCCAAGAGCCTCCTCCCCCTCAGGGTGCCTAGGGGGTGCCTAGGCCGAGCGAGGATGCCAGTGCCCCGTCAGGCCTTAGCTCCATTGACAGAGGCCAGCCTATCAACTTCCTGTTGCAATTCCCGGATGGCCAGGGATCCCGCCTGTGCGTAGGGTCCCCACCCACGTCCCTTTCATGCCCCCTCAGGACATATTCCCCCCTTCCTGGAATGCGTTTTTAATTCACTTACACAGCAGCAAAGAGGGAGACACGGAGGATAAGCCCGATGGGCTGTGCTTTAGAAACCGCCAGGTCTCTCTCCTGGCCCTGAACAGGATTAGCAGCAGTTCTCTAAAAGGCCTCAGGCCTCTGACGGCAAAGGCAGAGAACAGTCAACCCCAAAAAGCCGTTGGGGAAGCGGTGGGCCATGAGTGCTCAGCGGTCAGCAGACGAGGGTGGCGGAAGCGAGGAGTGTGGACTCCCCCGGGGTCTCACAGGTTACATCCACCAAAACCTCTGGCCGGGGCTGCATTTAAGTCTGGGTCAGGCAGAGTTCAGAAGAGCCGCAGAAGAGCTGAGAGGTCTAGCCAGCAAGCCCCAGTGGGAGGACAAAGGCCCTGGGGCAGCTGCAGCCAGGGATGCCTCTCACTGTGAGCTCGGACAGGGCCCCTGCAACACGCCCTGCAAACAAAGCCATCCACGTAGCTCCGGGGCCTCCGTCTCTGCCAGGCACGGCGGCATCTCCCGGGCCGCAAATGCGAGCCAAAGCACCAGCCCTGTCCCACGGCAGCACAGGGATGCGGGGCTGGGTCAGTGGGGCCGGGCCATCCTCGGCTAGTGGCAGTTCTGGCAGCTGGGGTGGCAAGGAATCCCATTCACTCGACAACGGCAGCCCCCACTGGTGTCTCCTGGGCCCTAGGGGGGTGGGGGGGGGAGAGATGGTCACGGCAGTGAAGCTGGCGCCCGCCACGGCCCACCTTCCTGTTCCGTCCACCCTCAAAGCCCCGCGCGCCCCTGCTCCAGCCCTTTGCTCAGCTACCAAGTGCGGACAGTCAGTAAAATCTTTCCGGGCCCCTGCAGTACCCCTAATTACAGGGTCCCAGGCTGTGCTCCCCCAGGCCCAGAGCAGGCAAGGGCTGTGCAAGCCCCGGGTGGCTCAGCACACTGGCTGCATGAGAGAGGCTCCCTCCGCCCCCGTCTGTCCTGGGGTCCATCTGTGTACACCTAGGGGCACCTGAGCCCCAGAACACCCCCTGCCAATAAACACAGCCGCCTCCGGCAGAGCACTTCCCTTGTGTACTTTTGTTTGATTCTGAACACAGGCCTGAGGACACTGGCCATCCTCTCCACTTCACAGATGAAGAAACCGAGGCTCAGGACAGCCCACCCACCCTGCCAGTGTGCACCAGAGCTGGGGAGCTGGTCTGCCCCTGCCCCCAGACGGAGGCCTCACTCACTGGCCCCTAGGGTGCGGCCCGCAGACTACTTCTGTAAAGGGCCAGTTATTTCAGGTCTCAGGGGCCATATGGCCTCGGCCTTAGCAGCACAAAAGCAGCCATGGATGGTACACCGCGAATGCATGTGGCCGCACTCCCAGAACACACGGCTCACGAGTGTGAACCTTGCACTTCATCTCATTGTCACGTCACGCAAAAATATTCTTGAGACTCTTTAACCATTTAAACAAATGTAAAAAATGTCCTCACTTTACAAGCTGGACACATGCAGGTGGGAGGGGGATGCTCCCTACCCTGGTGCGAGGCCCATGGGCGCACCCTCCCCCCCGGACTCACCCCAGGCCCCCAGCGCGGGCCCTTGGTGACCCAGCAGATCTCGGTGTGACAGACGGTGCAGCGGATCCAGTCACAGCCGTCCTTCTTCTGCACCACGATGCGGCACTGCGGGCAGTGCATGGCCTCGCCCTGCTGCAGCATGGACTGGGGCGCGACAGGTGCCAGCCTTCAGCCAGGTGGGGGCTGCCCCCTCTGCCCCTGGCTCCCCGCAGGGGCAAACCGGCTGGCCCCCTGGCCGTGCGGGGGTCACTCTCGGACGCTGTGTTGCCTTTGCAGGCGCTCTCCCCGC